AATGCAAAGAAAGTAGGTGTAGACACAGTGAATATTGTTTCACAGACAACCCAAATTAGGGAATGTTTGCAAAAGATTTAGTACACACAGCTCACAGCTCCTGTTCAATGTAACAGATGCAATTACCTTATTTCATTGTTCCCTATTGTCATTTCAGCACATCCCAATCAGGACCAGACCATTGCCATCAGGTAAAGGGACACAGCAGCTGATTTTGGATGGGTAGCAAATTGTTGTTATTTAATGTACTGTAACCATATTCTTATTGTCAGAGAAGGGGCAAAATACTTGCCAGAATTTCTGTCTCTATAGTCTGGTGTGACATCTGAATTGTGCCACTATATATTTCTTAGCATCATATAGTTTTGAAAAGTTTTCAGGCTTCATGAGAACTGATTCATCCATTTTCCTCAGTGAATGAGCACTGCATTTCTTCTTCCAAATATATATTTATATAGAAATTATAAGATGCAGACAGGAATTTGCAGATAAAACTAGCAGCAATGGCTCTGAAAAATACCATTGTGGTTCCCAGGAACTGCTTCCATTTGTATGATATCTGTGATCACCAAACCCTCCCTCCACATCTTTCCATCTGGGTATGCACCTCAGGAAGACCAGAACCTATGAGTTATCTGTTGTATATGGGCCTACGTGAACTTGTAATTTAGCCAGTCCTGTCTTGCCTTACAGTTGCTTTTGTCTGAAATCATATGATAAAGCACAGTATCTATACAAGTGGCTGCACACCATTCATCCCATGAATTGTGTTGCATTCCATATCTCTGTGTCTGACAAGAAATTATTGGAAATCTAAACAGTAAACCAAATTACTGTATACAGAACTGTAAAAGTTAATCTTCCCGTCTCATATATGTTTCATTGGCTGGCAACCACCTAGGGCTATCAGAGAAAGCACCTGGCTTTGAACTGACACTCCCAACTAATGATGAGATGATAGAAAGACATATTAAAGACTGCACAACATTTCCTGTAATCCTAACATCTCACCCTATCCCAATTCCCACCTAAACATTAATAAGAACTTCCTGATGGTAAAAGCTGTTTGACAGTGGAATGCACTGCCATGGAATATGGTGGAGTCTCCTTCTTTGGATGTCTTTAAACATAAGCTGGATGGCCATCTGTCGGGGGTGCTATGATTGTGTGTTCCTGCATGGCAGAATGGGGTTGGACTGAATGGCACTTGTGGTCTCTTCCAACTCTATGATTCTGATTCCATTTATTCACTTTAAAGGGAGATGATCTATAAAGTATCTAGTGCCAACCTCTGTATGTGCAGAGATTAAGGAAAGTATGTTATATGCTAATAGTATCTATCAATTCCTATGAACATATAAGGTGCTCCCAATACAAGGTACATTCCTCCTACTTCAATTCAATTTCTGTCCACACTGACAAAGGAGTAGGACAGCCATGAACAGGTAAGTGACATGCAAGGCACCTCTTGTCAACACTGCAGCATCTGTTCCTGCTATTCCAGCATTTCAGATGTAAGCAAAGTTGAGTGCTTTTGGGTAGTGTGCACACACAAAGAGAGGAGCAGACTCACTTCAGCTATATTCACAAAGCAATTCCCTGTAGCTGCAGCATGATAACAACTTCAATGAAGGTAATTAAGGTGCCAGAGAAGGAAATGCCATTAAAGGAGGCTTCCCACAGTGCTCCTAACTGTGCTCACCAAGCCTGCTTTATTGTGGATGGGGCCATCCACAGCCTCCCTGACCTAATTAGGCTCAATCTGAGGACATTAATTAGCTTGTAGAAGGGACAATAATAGGGATGGGTGGATTGTACTGCACAAGATCCTCAGGATGCACAATGGACCAGGCCTCCTTCATGCCTTACAATATGGCTACTCCAAGTTATAGAAGCTGTAACTCAGAAGGAGAACTGTGTCACTGGACTGCCACAATTGGGTTTCAAACAAGCTGGATCACACTGCTATCACTAGACATAGTGGACACCTAGACACAGATGGCTCATGTTAGGAGGGATGTGACTGTCATTGTACCACTAGGATAAGAATAATGCAACCTTCTAGATGTTATTGGATTGCAACACCCAGCATTCCTTCTCACTGGCTATGCTGGTTAGGACTGATGGGATCTGCAGTCCAGCAACATCTGCATGATCTGATGTACAGCCCCCATTGTACAATCACATTTGGGGCTCAAACAAGATCCAAAAGCAGAAAAAGCAGGCTTTCTTACATGGTGTGGAGACAGTCTGGGGAACTACAACTTCCTCAGATTATGAACTATAACTCCCATCATCCCTAATCACTGGCTAGGGCTGATGGGACACTCAACACCTCTGGTAGAACATGGGTTCCCCAGCTATAATTTACAAAGAGTTGTGAACTTCACCAGGCTCCAGTACTGAGCGCAGTTTAAAGAAAAGTGCTACAACAACCGAGCATATTAAAGGTCCATCATTACCATTTGTAGAAAGCTATTGAACATTACTTGTTTAGGGGAGTTCCCAACTGCTTTTGCTACACCCGATGTTCACATGAATCATCCCTGTTATTATTTTGGGTCACATACCATCCCCATTCTTTACTAGGTTGTCCTGCAGTCAGGCATAAATCTGACAGCATATCCTATGCATTAAGCACCATCCTAGCCTGTCTGGCTGCAAGAGAGACATTGCTCAGTGATGGAGACAGCAAATCTGGGGTGGGAGGCATGGGCTGGGGGCAGAGGAGCTATAAATTGAGACTAGGGGACTTAAGCAGAACTGAGGTGGGGAGAGGGAGGCACGAGAGACAGAAGAGGGGCACGATCACGGATTGGCAAGACCTAATAACACTTTCCAATTGACTTTGAACTGCTCTTCCTCCATACAGTTACTATTCATCCACACTGCAGAAATAATCTAGTTTGACACCCCTTTAACTGGTATGACTCAATGCTATGAAATTCTGGGAATTGTAGTTTGTTGTAATTCCCAGAATTCCATAGCATTGAGCCATGCCAGTTAAAGGGGTGCCAAATCAGATTATTTCTGTAGTGTGGATGTAGCCTTAGTTCCAAGACAGTTTCCACTTCTTTTCCTTTCCATTTTTTGAAAGTCAAACGAAAATGGAAAGAAACACAAGGTCTCCAGGGGCGCAAGAGGGGAATATTCTGCTCAGCTGCAATTAATCCAACCACTCAACCCCAGGGTCCCCCCAGCGTAAACAGCACGTTCCATTGCTGCATTGTGGTGAATTATTTAGCATCCCCTCCAGCTTTATTTCCCTCTTTACACCCTCCCTCCCTCCCTCCTTCTCCTTCCCCATCAAAGCAATGGCCACCACCAACCATCAGACTGCAGAGGAATGAGGTGCATTCTTGCCAGGGCAAGCCAGAGTGTTATATATGAAGGAGCTGGGCTGGGGGGAGTGTTAATGATCAGCCCCTGTTCCAGCTGAGCTCCCTTTCCTTCCCTCCCTGTTTTGCTTTTATTCTGGATAATTCAGACCCTCACATGCAGAGATGAAAGGCCCACCCTGGGCCTGGGCTGCCCTTCCCTTCCCTGGGTGTTTCCCTCTTTCTTTGCGTCACATTTTGCTTTTTTTGCTCCAGGCAGGGGGCTCTTTGCCTGGGTGGGAAGGCTTGATCCAGAAAATGAGATCTCTTGCCAAATGGATCCTCCTCTGTCATCATTCCTCATTACAATGCTGGGAAGGTGGGGAAGGGCTTTGGGGGCCAAGGGGGAAAGGGTGTAGGTAAGCTGCCTTCACAGCAGCCCAGGACAAGCAGTCCTAGAAGGGCTCAGAGGAGATCCTGGAGGATCCACACCAGGCTGACCAGTTGTCCTGACCCTCAAATGTCCTGACTGCCAAATGTAAGACATCCAAGAAAACTGTGGGCCATGACCAAATATAAGATATCACCACTCACATAAATCTGTGCTTCTTAGTCATGATCAGATTGGAGGACATTGTGGAATTCCTTGTGGACAGAAGGCTGAAATGGAGGGCCTGTCCTGGAAAAGGAGGATCTCCCACTGAGCTACAACACTCCTAGAAATGTAAATGCATGTTTCTTAGACCAGCTCCAAATGGAAGACATTGTGGAATTCCTCCTGGACAGAAGGTTGAAAGGTAGGACAAGTCTTGGAAAAGGAGGACCTCTGGCCACCCTGCTCCATGCAGATGCAATTTTGGTGTAATTCCCATCCTCCTTAGTGCTCCCCTGAAGAAAGATCCGACTCACACACACACACACACACACCTGTATCTGACAGAACACATCTCCCCTTCCCATCTCAGTCCAATCTACGGTAGACAACACTTTAGCATCAGAATCATACAAGCCATTGTATTCCCTATTACCATGTCTGGATGTG